GTGATTCCATTGGGCCATTTGAATTCCGCGCGTGTTTTTTTCTTTCCAACTAACTCACTTTGTTTTAATATATTATGTTTTATTCTCATTACATTAACAACTAAGCAGGTTGGTCCAATGGAAGAGCGCGTTGGTGGGAAGCATAAGGACCTGGGTTCGATCCCAGGCCCCAACAATTTCCTTTGTTTTATTTTCTTATACAGGATCAGGTACATCATCCGTTCAAGCATCTACCATACGCCTTTCACATCCAACCATTAGATCAATACAACATCAGATATAACGCGCTCATGGAGGCAGAGCATGGTGGACCATCAGACGCTGCCACCACTGGATCAGGCGCAGGACTGGGCCATCAACCTTGGGCCCAGCAATTTCAACAATACACCCCCCAGATTTGCTACTCAACACAGGCCCATTTTCTTTTCTTTATATATTTTCTTTATTTAATTATTTTATTTAATTATTTTTCCACAAAAATTAATTACCTTTTTTTATTAATCATAAAATCAACAAACCACAAAATCACAAAAAATCATTTTTTCATAAAATATTTATTTTAAGTTAATTAGAAAATTAGGTTAATTTAATGTACTTTTTTTCCATAATTAAAACAATTAGAAATTAGGGTTTTAATTAACTTGCAATTAAATTCTTTTCTCAAATAAAAATGTACAAAAATATTTTTCTCTCAATTAGGGTTTTAGGTTTTTTTTTAAGCGTCCTCGTATTTAATTCGCTGCGCGTTTAATTAATTCTTTTCATATTTTTGTAACTGTCAATGGTTTGTGATAGTTAAACTAGGTTTTTTCATTTATCGCTTTGTCCCCCGATTTTGGTTATGTAATTAATCCCTATCCCCGAAGCCTTGTAATAGCTAGGTTTATTTTCTCGCACTTTTAATTTCCGCAATCTTTAACTGTTAGATGCATGGTTAATAGATTATATGGAAAGATGTTTGAAAATTAAAACGGTAGCTTACTTAATGTGCAAAGACTAATTAACTGAAAAAATCACGTGCACATATTTCACTCCTAGGGTTTTCCTCACTTCGGTTTCCTTCGGTAAAATAGTCATTTAAGCATAGGATATTTTAATGGTTACCCTCCTGTCTAAAAGATCAAATGTCCCATTCGAATGTTTCCTCGAAAATGTTGCCTCGAAAAGATCTTAAGACTCTAGGGTTACTACTAAGGTTTCCTACCCATGGCTTTGGTGACTGTACTTGTCCCTTTCGAATGTCCCTTACAAACTCCAACGACAGGGCTACCTACTCCTTAATAGTAGGATAGTGTTGTCTAAAGGAAATGAGAACAAACAACTTTTTTTCGAGTAGGTAGAATCTTAAGTACTTACTGAACAAAACTTTTCACACAAACACCTTTCAAAACAACTTTGAAAAACAAACTTCGTCACACCCTTGAGGACATACAAGGGTTATCACGAAGTAAAACTTTTTTTTTAAACAAGCATATACACAAGCAATTTCAAAATGAGCAAGTACCTAAGAGCCCATGGAAAACCATGGATAGAAAGGGTGCTAACACCTTCCCTTTCTATAAGCTACCCCCCGTACTCATAAATATTCTCGAAAAAGGTTTTTTATGTTCATTTTCCTTTTCCTAATTGGATAAAATAAAATTTGGTGGAGACTCTTGTTTACCGCGACATTTGCGAATACAAACACAAACCAGTATAACAGTCGGTTCTGCCACCGTATCACAGAACTGGAGACTCTGTTGGGGATTAAATAAGGGGGGTATACCTTAGGATCTAAGTCTTATTTTTAATTGCTTTCTTGTTTGTTTTGTATGCTTTATTCTTAAAGGGTTTTGCTTGGGTATTATTAAAGATCCTACACTCGGATTTGGGGACACTTTTTAGGTAAACAGCAATAGATCTTGGAGACTGTACGGCGTAGACCGATATGGTTTAAGCGATGGTTGTGTTGGTGTGGCACTTTGGTTGGTACCGGTATCCTTCGTGAGGAAACGAGGAGAATACGGGGCCGCCGCGTAGTGTCGTGAAACACTAACAGACCTTAGAACCTTAGTTGAACAAACTTTGCCATTAGAAAGTAGTGAGATAGCCGGCCTCGGTATAGGCTATGTAGGTATGGAACTGCATGGTTGAAGGAAGACTTATAAGGATTAATTGGTACTACCTATACCAACAAGATGCATCTTCTTTTCGGTAGCTCATTCATAAGAACTCCACAGTTAAGCGTGCTTGACTTGGAGCAATTATGGGATGGGTGGCCTTCTGGGAAGTTTCTCAGAAAGCGTACGAGTGAGCCTAAAGCATGTTGAAAAGACTCGTGTTGATTTGTGGGGTCAGTCGGTAATCCTAAATGCAGCCTGATGCGTTACAAATGGTATCAGAGTCATACCTCTCCCAGTACGATGTGGTTCGAGGATGAACCATGCGGAAGCTGGTGGGCATGTAACACTCGAGGCCGAAAATGGCGAGGAATGGTTGCACCGCATGTAACACCCGAGGCCTAAGAGGGCAAAGGTGGTCGCCACATCGGAATGAGAGGGATCCTGAGGCTATGCAGGTATGGAACTGCATGGTTGAAGGAAGACTTATAAGGATTAATTGGTACTACCTATACACCAACAAGATGCATCTTCTTTTTGGTAGCTCATTCATAAGAACTCCACAGTTAATGGGATGGTGACCTTCTGAGAAGTTTCTCAGAAAGCGTACGAGTGAGCCTAAAGCATGCTGAAAAGACTCGTGTTGATTTGTGGGGTCAATAGGTAATCCTAAATGCAGCCTGATGCGTTACAAATGGTATCAGAGCCATACATCTCTCAGTACGATGTGGTTCGAGGATGAACCATACGGAAGCTGGTGGGCATGTAACACTCGAGGCCGAAAATGGCGATGAGTGGTTGCACCGCATGTAACACCCGAGGCCTAAGAGGGCAAAGGTGGTCGCCACATCGGAATGAGAGGGATCCCGAGGCTATGCAGGTATGGAACTGCATGGTTGAAGGAAGACTTATAAGGATTAATTGGTACTACCTATACCAACAAGATGCATCTTCTTTTCGGTAGCTCATTCATAAGAACTCCACAGTTAATGGGATGGTGACCTTCTGAGAAGTTTCTCAGAAAGCGTACGAGTGAGTCTAAAGCATGCTGAAAAAACTCGTGTTGATTTGTGGGGTTAGTCGGTAATCCTAAATGCAGTTTGGGGCGTTATAAATGGTAACAGAGTCATACCTCTTCCAGTACGATGTGGTTCGAGGACGAACCATGCGGAAGCTGGTGGGCATGTAACACTCGAGGCCGAAAAGGGCGAGGAGTGGTTGCACCGTATATAACACCCGAGGCCTAAGAGGGCAAAGGTAGTCGTCACATCGGAATGAGAGGGATCCCGAGGCTATGCAGGTATGGGACTGCAGGGTTGAAGGAAGGCATATAAGGATTAATCGGTACTACCTATACCAACAAGATGCATCTTCTTTTCGGTAGCTCATTCATAAGAACTCCATAGTTAAGCGTGTTTGACTTGGAGAAATTCTGGGATGAGTGACCTTCTGAAAAATTTCTCGGAAAGCGTGTGAATAAAGATAAAATACGCTGAAAAGACATGTGTGTGTTTATAAGGTCAATCGATAATCGTGAAGACAGCCTGATACGTTAGACCATATACTACATACCCTTGTATACTATATACCCTTGAGCATAGGTTGTACTATTGGTGGAACTATCCTTTTAATTGTCTTAGCATAGAATTTGTTTGTTTGGTTTAGTAGCTTTCTCAACTTAATGTTGGTTTTTTTTTTTTTTTTAAGGATGTTTGGTTTAGCCTTCAAATAATTTAGATTTGGGTCACTTCAAATCAGAATATTTAAATTAAGAAAGACAAACTGTGTCTTTGCCACTATATCTCTCTTATTTTATTTTTTAAAAAGACTCTAAAATCGAATTAATTTTCCCCCCACAAAATTAAATAACTTATTTATTTAAGAGTGTGTTTGTTTCAAATTATAAAATATTATTTCTTGAAATTATATTTTCAAAATTATTATTCTTAAAAATATTATGGTGAAAAATTAAATTTCTTGTGTATATTTACAAATTTAATTTAAATTAAAAATTATGAAATTAAAAATAAAAATAAATGTGAGTATTAGTGAGAAATTATCCTTTAACATAAAAATAAATATGAGAAAAATCATATATAAACAACATTTCCAAAAATAAAAAATATTAAAAAATAATTTTTTTTTAAATTGAAACAAATATAAGATTATTGTATTTCCAATATAAACATTCACTGAAATTTTACTTTATAACTTGAAATAAACACCTCTTAAGTTTTGTAATCTTGTAGGTGGGATTTTGAACATTACTTTCATTTGATTTTTCTTGCCACATCTTGTGAGTAAAGTCGGTTAAAATAAAATTCTTGTTAGTCACGTGAATGATGCACATTTCGTAATATAGTTTAGTATCTTATCATCTCTATCATGGTGCATGCCAACTGCCAAGTATGAATAAATTAACAGCACTCTCACATGCCCATACTGACACAGCATATGATACCAAATTGTACAAAATTGGTGTAGTAGTTGCTACTTTAAAAGAAATATTCAAAGGTGTAAAATACGACCAAACCAAATTGGAAACATGCGATAATTTAATTCACAAGGCAGCATCATATGCTTTCCCTAATCTCCCTCCACTAATTTTGATATTGCCATAATAAAAAAGAACAACTAGTTGGTTTATAAGTTTTACTCTCTCATCATTCAAATGTTGTTATGTAGAAGAAATAGTAATTTATGAAATTGCAAAGCATCTAGTATATGTAGTTTGAAACAAGAAATGAACCCATATATAAATTAAGTGATGTTCCAATAACCATAACACTAATGACTCATCTAAATACTATCCCTCTTACCAAATATTAAAAATTTCACCTAAAATAAAAACTAAACTTTGATTTACATAAAAATGTATAACAATACTAAACCACAAACAAACTACTCACTAGGAATAGAAGACACAACATTCATCCTCATCTCCATGACTTTCTTATGAGAATTAGAATGCAAATAGCTCACAAAAGTTGGACTCTTAGCAGGCCTATACTCTGGCAACAACCTTCCAGATTTGTACCTCACACCACAAGCATTGCACAATGTCTTTGGTCCTAGTGGTCCAGCTCTCCATTGTGGAGTCCTCTGTGACAAACAATGAGTGCATCTTCTTGTTGGAAGAACTTGATTTTGTCCATTGTTGACATCATTCTCAAAACCCTCAAAATCAAACCTTTCCTTTTTCACAATTTCCTTTTCAGCAACCTCAGTGTTGATATCAACTTTGGGTTCAATGAGTTCACTGTCAGCTAACCAATAGGTTTGTTTTAGAAGAGGAGGGTCATAACATAGTGACTCATTTTGTGGGTTTAAGGTGTTTGATAAAATGCTTAAAGGGTCTTTTGTTCTTCTTGGAGCTGAAAGCCTCTTCCTTTTGCTTCTTGCTTTCCCTGGTACTGCAAAAGGTGACTCATTTTGTTGCTTTGGTTTGTTCATTGTGTTTGAAGGGTTTGTTGAGATGTTTGTACTTGTTGTGTTTTGAACACTAGAGGGTAACAAAACACAGCTTTGTGGGCTTGAGAAACAATCTTCAACAAACACCGAAAGCCACTCCATTTCAACATTCACTTCCTACATAAATTGTTTGGTCAAAAATGCAAATTTTAGTCAAAACAATAAACCAAAGTACATGTTTAGGTTCACAATGAATCTATGGAATTAAGGTAAGAAACATTGGTTTTGGTAAAAGTTGCAATTTTGAGCTTTTAGTCAAACACTTCATTAAACCAAAAAAACTTTGAAACATGAAATTAAAAAAGGTACAAACTTTGTAAAGATATTGTTACTAAAAAAAAACATAATCATTTTTTTCAAACAAACAAAGAGAAATCTTATGTTAGAACTAGGAAGGTGAAGTTTGATGAAATTAAGAATAAAGTGAAACAAACACTAACCATGTTTTGAGCTGAAAAAAGGTCATCAAGACTACTTGAAGGGTTCATGAGCTTCTCTTGTTTGCAGTCACCAGAAAGTGTTACGTTTTGGCAAACATCCATTTTCATAAGGTAAACAAGGTTAAGAGAAGAGTGTATAAATTTGAACCAAGCACAAGAGAGAGGAGAAAGAGAAAAGAAAGCCAAAATTGGTTGTGTCTAAGTTACAACTAAACCCTTGTCTCAATGCACTCCTTTTATTATGGTTCTTGGTTTTTTGTCGGCAGATTATTATTAAAGGTTAAAAAGAAAAGGAAATGAAATTCAAATTTTTTGCATAGTAATAAAGAAAACATCACTGTCCCATGCAGACATAGACCAATCACTTTCTCTCATGTAACAATAATTAATTAACCCTTTGTTTACCCCAAAAAACGTCATTTATTTCTTTTATACCATACTAAACTTTTTTATTTTCACCAACAATTTTATTTCCCACAACTCTATTTTATGTGTGTTTTAAAATTTTGTTTGTTTAGATAGTAGTAGTTTTGGAAAGAGGAGTAAGCAGTACAAGTGGACAACAAGTAGAGGTCCCTCCAACTTTCACTTTTCATTTGAAAACTTGTGAAAAAAGATGTGGGAGAGTCCAAGAAGCCACAGAACAGTGTACAGACTGTTTCTGTTCTGCTAAGTCTTTGCAGTTACAGATTCATTAAAAATGTTTTACTATCATTCAGATTCTGATTCTTCTTATATCTTTAAACTTTTTGACAATCTGTGTTCCTGCTCTGCATTAAGGGTAGGGTACATTACAATTTAGTCTAATGCTATTTACTTCTTTTTACATTTCACTTTATTCAACATATGAGACTCCTAATATATCTTACAATTTACTCTAATTTGTTTTTTTTTCTTAAATAGTATGTTAAAATAGTTGCAATCATTCAAAGCTTCTTGTTATGTAGGATTCAAAATAAATTGAATTAGACTGCCCAATTTGAATTGATAAGAGTTATTTCAATTCGAGTTTTATGTAAACCTTTTCTATAATTTGAATTTGATTTTAAGTTTACCAATAATTTTGTTCGATTCGTTTGTCTAGAATATATAATTTTAAGTTTTTTTTGTCAAACAAAAGTTAAAATTTTGATATATTTAACCTTTTTAAATTAATTAATTTTAAAAAGGATAAAATTAAAATAGAATAAAAACTATCTCAAAAATATAAAGGATTAACATAAATATAAAGATTAAATAATTTTAAAAATTAACTTGTAGTTGACCGCAGATAACTCTATGTATATAAAAAAATTTAAGATTTAAGTGGACATATATATTTGTATAAGAAATTCTAAATAAAAAAAGAAAATATTAATTCTTGTATAAATAAAATGATATTAAATATTAATATAGTTAAAATATGTATAAGATAAAGTGTATATATATAAAAAGAATTAGTTTAAAACCTTTTATGTACTTTAGTATTGAAATATTTGTGTCCTAATTTGAATGAATACTTGTGAAATAGATAAATTATCAATATTCTTTTAGACGATCTAGAGCCCCACCTATATTTATAATCAGCAAGCATATATTCATTTTTTATTATCTATAGTAAAACTCAAACTTAAACTTGATTTACCAAAAATTCTTTAATATATTAAAACAGAATATATACTAAATTTTGAATAAAATCTCGCCTAAACAATTTTTAATTATATTTTTTTTTTCTCTTTTTAATATATATTATTTAATATATTAATTAATATTTAATATTAATTATTCTAATTCATTTATTCAACCATTAATTTTTATTTATTTTAACTATTTAATTAACAAAAAAAAAAAATTTCTCACATATAATATCCATTAATAATTTGTCTCTTACGTCGTATAGAATTAAAATACTAATTAAATTTTAACCAATAGTATACCTAACTAGTTAAGTTCAAACATCATGCACTTATATGTCTTATTCAAATAAATAATTTATTCATATTGACAAGCATTTATATAATAAATATTTATATAATAAATTTTTTATGTAACCAATATATTTTCATATATTATTTTGAAAAAATAATAAAAATAAATTGAACTGAATAATGTCATATAATTTTTCTAAATTGTTTAAAATAATCTTACAAAATTTATTAAACATATAAATACAAATATATTTATATATTAATTAGTTATTTTCAAATGAAATAAATTAATTTTTAATAAGATTATTGCGAACTTTTGTACTTGTTTATTTTAGTTTTATATCTATTAGTTAACGTATAATATATATTAGTGTTTGACTTAACTCATCTTTATAAAAATGATTTGTAAAGTGAGGGTGATACTCTATAAAAATTATTTAAAAATTTTATGTCTAACCAATGTAAGACTTGAGGTCTTTCTAATATTATTGGAAATCCACCAAAATTTATGGAGAATTTCTATCAATCTTGATTACACAATAACAATGAAAAAGAAAGAAAATTGTGGAAGAAAGAAAATTAGGGTTTTACAAAGTATGGAAGAAGATGGTGATTTTGTGCAGAGTGTCTCTCTGTCTACAAACCGTGGAAAATTTTATTCACTTTGCAACTGTAAAATCCTGTGAATGCAAGTTGTGTACAATAATAGGGGTTACTCCCTCTATTTATAATTTTAGGTTAGCTTGCTCCCTAAGTCAAAGCCCAAAATACCTAATTTTGGACCTAAGTCGAAATTCTATATCGAGACTACCTCCTTCAACACTTCGACTACTGAATAACTCGACACACACACGCCCAGAGCAATTTCGACATACCCTTGTTTTGTTGAGCAACATGCTTCTTCGACACAAGGAACTACAATCTCAACACACCACCTAATTTATTGTATCTAAGCTTTACTACTCTTGTAGAATTCTATGCTAAGGAAATATGAAATTTCTCCCATATCTGACATCTCGAATTCCTTGTTGAGATCACCTTTAAAGTCTTTGATCTCTTTCTTGCAGCTACCTATTATTAATAAGTCATCGACATAAATACATAGTATAATCAATTCACTCTTCCTTCTTCTTACATATACTACAGTTCAGTTGTGCACTTCACAAATTCCTTCTCCCTTAGAAAATTGACAATTTTCTTATTGCAAGCTCTTGGAGTTTGCTTGAGTCCATACAGGGCTTTATGCAGCATGTATACCTTTCTTTCTTCGCCATGTTTCACAAATTCAACTGGTTATGTAACATAAACTTCTTCGTCTAAGGGTCCATTTAGGAATTCACATTTCACATTTATCTGACATATGTGTCAACTATTCATTTTTGCTAGGCCAACAACCAACCTGATTGTTTCGATCCTAGCAACAGGTGCAAGAACTTCATCGAAGTTGATTCCTTCTTTGTGAATAAATCCTTTTATCACAAGTCTTGCTTTGTGTCGATTTACTTCCCCTCTGGGATTCAACTTCATCTTGTATATCCACTTCACACTGATTGCCTTCTTGCCTTGAGGAAATTCGACAAGTGACCAGGTGTAACACCCTATTTCCCCAACGGTAAATTTTATGAAAATCAGAGTAAAATAAAAATCCAAAATAGGATGTCACATCATTCAACATATTCAAATTTTCTCAGTTAAGATAAGACAAATGCATAATGCATATTTCAGATGAACCGGCAATATTTCAGCATAATCTTCAAACTTCAACTTTATTAACGCAGCAGAAAGAATTTCATAATTACTCTAAAATCTTCAAACATTATAAAATCAACAAATTAATCAATCAAAAAGAGAGTTTTCAACACTCCCAAAGAAGGCATTAATTAAAATAAAACAGTCGAGTATTCATCCTCCCAGTGTTACGTATCAGAGCAATGACACCCACTCAAAATAAAAGGAGCAACCTCTTCTAGACTTCGCGACTTTGCACTACTTTTGGCTATCTGCACGTTACCCACGTGGAGGCAACATTCAAATAGTAAGTATGAGATATCATAACAATATAATAAGTTATATAATCATAAGTAAACAACAAATATATCATGCAGATATTCAAGTTCGACAATTATCAATCACACCACTTTCACAAGTCCACAATTCAACAATGCCACAATCCAATAATTCTAAAATCCAACAATCCAACGATTTGACAATTCAACCAATGTAATGCAACTGACTTTGATGCAAAATTCATGTGGTACCATCAGGGCATAAGCCCTCAACAAATTGCCATATAGGCCAGGGCATAAGCCCTCAATAATTTCCATAAAGGCTAGGGCATAAGCCCTTAACGATTGCCATAAAGGCCAGGGCATGAGCCTTAAACGATGCATGAAATGCGACATGCTACAACCATAATTATGCAATTCCGAGCATACCATCAATATTAAGCCAATTTTCAGGCCAACATCATCTTCTTAGTACTACAACATCACCTTTAATTTCTTTGCACATCATGGGTACGACAAACGCAACTTATTCACGACACTTTTGGTGTCACGACTCATCTAACATACACATTCATCATAATAATTTCGATAATTTATTAGACTACTATAATAAAAGTTAATTTCATATTATAGAAAATATTTTTAGCTTTCCAACGGTTCAAACAGTGCGTCAAACGGATACCCGAGGCGAAAGTTATGATTTTAAAAATTTTCCAAAAACTATGTCATCTTTAGAGGTAACCGGTTACCCAATTACGGTAACCGGTTACTGCAAGACAGTAACTCAGTTTTCTTCAAAATTCTTCGCGGTAACCGGTTACTGCAAGTCAGTAGCCAATTGTTTAAAAACACAAACAGGAGTAACCGACTACCCATATATGGTAACCAATTACCCATCACAAACATACCCAAAAACTTGATTTTTCTGCTACGAAATTCCATCTTCTTCACCCAAAAACCTCTTTTCATGAAAGATCCAATACATCAATTATTTTAAATCATCAACACATATCATATACCCCCAATCTAACACAAACAACACATCAATTTCATCAATTATATACCAACTTTATCTCGTGTCATTTCCTCTGTTGTTCTAACTACAAACTTTAGACCCCTATATCTATATACCAACTTTTCCCCTCCTCTTATTACTAGGTTTATTTTATTTATTAATTATTAATATTATAAATCA